AAAAATTAATTACATAAATAAGAATAAAATATGTAAAATACTACTTTAATTCATAGTATAAATAGAAGTACGTTTAAATTTTGTTCAATATGTATAAAAAATAAGTATTTGGTATGTTCCATTTCATAATACGTTATTTGTATGATGCGCTATTTATAAGAGTATGTACTAGAAATGAATAAATTTTTTTTTTGTATATTTCCTTATTTTTTAATATACAAGTAAAAAATATATTATTGATGACATATATTAAAATTTATAATATTCCAAATAATTTTTTATTGTACAACATGTAAGTAATATATCATCACAATATATATAATATAAATTATAGTAACACAGTTTGAATATAATATTTTTTATAATAAATTAAAAAATATATAACAATAATACCTATAATTATTAAACAAAATGGTATACCTTTACAAAAGATAAAATTATGTAACAAATTATTCATTATAAAAAATATATTAATCATCATTAATATTAATATGAATCCTTCGAAAATAAAACTATAAAAATAAAATCTAAAATTAATAATAGAACACATCGATGAAATACATATATATATAATGAATTATAAAATTCATATTTTAAAATAACTAAGCCAAAAATAAAAGAGAAAATGCGCAACAAAGATACATAATAAGGAATGCAAAAATAAAATCTGTTAAAATAAACAATACATAATATAAATTAAACTAAAAACCAAACACTAAACCTTAATTCCAGAACACTAAAATCATATCTAATTCTTAAATTCTATTATGTTTTTCTAGAAATTATATTATTTATATCAATCAGAAAACATCATTATAACTTTTGTTATAATAAATATAATATAAAGAAATACATTATTACATTAAAAATAAACATTGAATAACTGTTTAAAATTGACGAAGATAAAGAATTTACTGCTCTTATATGAATATGTATTTATGATATTTTATAATATAATGAAATAACATAAATAATACAATAACATATGTAATTGCAGAAATTTAAGCAACATAGGATTATAAAAATATAGTCAATTAATAATTAAATTGTTTAACAATTTTCAATTATTATAAAATTAGTATATTAAAAATGTTTATATATATATACAAAAAAATTAAAATAAATAATTATAAATAAAAATATGTAATAATTATATGTATTCCATTATAATAAATAAATACTAATATATCTTATATTATAATAAGAACACAATGTTACATTAGAAAATCTATATATAAGATAACCTAAATTATATATAACACATATATAATAATATATTATATTATAAAAAAATACATAAATTTAAACACAATAATAAAACCAAAACTCAGAAGCATCAATCTAAATCCTAAACAAAAACTATAAACAATATAACTATTTTCCATACCCCGAAACATAAACTATCATCTGAATCATAAAACTATGATAGAAACAAATATTTTAATAAATAGTACAGATGTACGTAAGGAATCAACATTCTTGTTAAATAATTATATATTAGTGCATGTATATGTTTATTATTTTATTTATATAAACTAACAAATACACAAATATAAAATAAATGTATATTTATAAATTTTTTTAAATTCAATTAAAATCATTTAGATATAATAAAATTCACTAAAGTATTTACATTAAATAATATCCATAATGAAATAATTCTATTTAATTTATATTATATTTTAATATGATCAATCAGATATTAATAATCTATAGATTGTTTCATATGCACGTAAATATAGTAAAACTATATATCTCAAAAAAATTGTATCACATAGAACCTTATAATATTTAGTATATTTAAAGTCCAAATAACAACAACTCTTACATTGAAAACATAATAAATTCTTTTATAAGATAAGTATAACTTATTCGTATTTTAATTGATGCAAATAAAGCATAATGACTAAAACTCTCAGTTATGAGAATGTAATTTTTTATATTAGTAATAGTATTCATATAATTTATTCTATGTATTCATTTAAATATATTTTTTTTAACAAATTTATAATTTTATATATTATTAATAATTTTATTTTAATACATTTGAAAACATAAAATTTTAACTTATAGATTAAATTCCATGAAATATTCCCCCAATTTAGAGATATTTACAATAAAAATATATCTGATTCGAGTGATTTAACAAGCATGAAATCTAAGATTCTTAACCTCTGTAATAATTTAATTAGATTTCATTTGAAAAATGAACAAATAAGAGACTATAGATTACCTAACAGTTGTAGTGGTCTTGGTCTTTATTTATACCTTATAAAAAGTGATATTAGTTATAATGTTAATTATAAAAATTTAGCTTGCAAATATTTCAATTACAAGTTACAAGAAATGTTAAACAATTATGAATGTAATATTAAAGACCCAAAAAGTGTTTACAATAAAATGAAACTGTATAAGAACCAGCTCGCTACAGATGAAAATAGTTTCCTTGATATATGTGATAATGAGGTTACAAGTCTTAAAGATAGCACATTTAACATATTTAAGTATTTCGATCAACTATATTATTTTTTACCATTAATAAAGAACGATAATGATTGCTCACAGTATGCAGGAAAATTTAATGATTATGTGAATTATTTAAAAGTATATGTATCAGAGAACAATAGTATACCTACTTTACTAAATAATTTAATCAGTGAATATAATAAAAGAATTCAGAATAGTGACTTATGTGCTAATGAACTATCTCTTGATGAAATATATGTGACTGAATTATCTGTGCCTGTAGCATCTGTGACTGCGTCATCTGTGAATGAAATATCTGAGAAAGGAAATGTAATAAATAACAACATGGCTATGCAAAATATTCAAATAACACACTCAGGATTATCAATAGGAAAATTGGTAGGAATTATTATATTGTCTTCAGTAGTTTTAATAATGACATTTATTTTACATAAGGTTATATATATTTTTTTTTTTTTAGATAATATATATTATAATATGATACATTTTACATATTATTTTTTAACATATATATAAAATTAGTATTCTACTTGTAAAATTATATTATTTTTCTCATGTTATCAGTATACGCGCAATGCTTCATTTATACGACGAGGGGTGAGGAGATTAAAGAAACTGGTGAATACAAAAGGTGAAAATCATAACGATGTAATGAGCTCATCTGAAGAAACATATAAAAATAGAAATTATAATCAGTATAAAATAGCTTACGTTTAAGTATAATAATCCTATTAATCACATAATATTAGTAAATTAATTAAACTATAATATATAAAATAAAATTCAAAGACATCCTTTTGATTATACGTGAAGGGTTCAGGGTTTAGATTTAATGTTTTAAGAGAATTAGATTTTGTTATAAATTATTTATATATTTACAAATATGATTATGATTATGAAATAACAGCTTATTTTCTTTGTGATTATAATTAATTTTTAAAAATATTCACGATTATTATATACCTACGGTGATGGAATAAGTGAAAATTTCAAGCCCAATAAAATTATTATGCTTTATAACAGTGTAAGAGAAAACTAGAAAAATATAGGTGGAAAAAACATACATCCTATAGGATAGATTATATCTAATTTAGTAAATGTGATAATTTATAAGTAGTATAACTAACGGGAAAAAGAAATAGATATATTTTTAAGGAAAAATATATATTTGTTCGAATAAATTCTGCTTATCTGTTTTTTCTTTTATTTTTTATTTATTAATTTCTGAATATTTATGTATTTATTCCGAATGCATATATTATAAAAATTACCATGCATTATACTTAATAACTATGCAATAAGGTTATATTTTTTTTTAGATAATATTTTGTTTTTATTCTCACATATTACTTATTCCAAAAATATGTAGCATAGTTTTTAAGGTATATTCACTTGTATTCATTAAATATAAAGATAAGGTGTTTGTTTAGTAATATATCATTAAAAGCATAAATGTGTGATGTAAATTTGTATTCATATTGTTATTATAAGGATGCGTGGAATATGCTATTTTTGTGTTGAGTTTACTATTTAATAGGAATTAAATATGAATGTTTTTAATATTATATATATTTACAATGAATATTATAATTGCAATTAATTCAATAATTTATTTTCCAGATTTATATAAATAAATTTAAATAATTATTAAATATATGCTTGCACTAACATTGGCAACGTACACTTACTATCATGTATAACGTATGTTAATAAATAAACTAAAAAGATAATAGATATATGGACCGCTTATTTTTTCCTTTATAAGAAAAAATTTTATAATGATAAAATGGAGAATGCGGTCTATGTTATAAAGTAAAAAATGATTAAAAATAATAAAAAAACACGCTTATTATTACATGTATATAGAAACATAGAATATTG